CAGTCCTGTGACTACCACCAATGTTAGCTCAAAAACCTATAACATACATTTCAACTTACATTTATCTTTAAATTTAGGTTATAATAAAATAGAAAAACTTTTTTTTTTCTGGTAACAATGGGTTAACAGTTATGTTCCATTTTCATTTCCTCAACATATAGTCTTACCATTTATGAAAGTTTTCACATTCTTGATTATAGAAATTTTCAAACAAATTACAATGCAATTACTAGCCATCAGGGTGTCAGGGGGAAATCCAATCAACTGACACCTCGTGAAGTTCTAACTAGGGTGGTGTTGGTGTATTAAAAACAGAAAGTAGTTCAAATGGACCCTCAAGCATCATGTATGCCTTTTCCACTGGCAAAGAAATGGCTATGATGATAAAATAGTTATAAAATGTAACACATTTTCAAAAGCACAGTTGTGTAATTCACAATATTAATTCCAGTCAGCCAGTTTTCCTGGTAGGTCCACTTCTTCTAGTGGAGCAGAAATAAATTAGAGCTTGTTAAACTGTGCTTTGTATTTGTGTGAGTGACACATTGTCTATTACTCTAATGGTGTGGAGGAAATAGACATAGTTCATGTTGGTACTGGTGGCAATAATTTACATTTATTGTCACTAATCCTCAGTTTACTTTTGTAGCTATTGGTGTCCCTTTAGGTGTGTGAAGGCATGCGTGTTAAAACAAAGAATGTTTGCTGGAATTTGTAAGGATTGCCTGTAATTTCTGATAGATTGTGGGATGCATAATTTAATACAATGAATATCATGTAGCCCTAAAGTGCTAATTAGGTTACTGAAAACATTTTTTTCATGGGAACATCAATCAAAAGGTTTTGGCTTGCCACCGTTCAAGCAAAGAAAATTAGATTTTGAAAATGTATTATGTTGCTGATGAAACTCACAAACACAATAAACGTCAACTAAACTGGCACATATGATTAAAAACTAGAAAGTTTAAATTCCACCTGGTGTGTCTGTAGCTCACTCTTGTCTGTTTCAGAGAAGTAGCTCTAATCTAAACAACACACGTGTATCATATTAAAAATCTGAGAAGAAAAAATAGGATTTGTTATATTATTTACAAATTCACTTGCAAAACCTACATTTTTGGACAACTTTTCTAGTATATCTCAACATTGTAGACATCCTAAAAGTTTGAATATGTCTCCTTTATCTCATTCATGTTTTACACAAAAAGAAATGTGTGCAAATCTCCCTATTTGTGGTAAACATACTGATTTAAACTGAGTGACTATCACAAAAATGCATTGTGCAGAACTATGCCTACTTACTTGCATTAGCTAAATGACACAGACGTCAGTCAATGCAGGATCCCTAACCCTCTGCATTCCATGCAAACGTGACTCTCGCTAGTAACTCCCATTTTTTTATTAAGTTGCTTGGTTTCCTTCTTCCTCCCTTCTTCTGTTTCCCTTGACCACTTATAACATGGCTGACTGACTTCTTCAACTGACTTTCAAAGGAAAGTCAAGAGGACAATTTTGTGCTTCAGTGGTTCTTACAGGGATGGGACTGAAGAGCTTTTCAACGTGAGAGAGAGCTTACCAAAGCCCAGCATCAGCCCTTCTGCCACCCATCCTGCCCTACTTATCCTGTACTCTGCCCTGCTCTGAAATGCTAGTGTAAGCAGAAAAGACATGCAGCAGACACAACTTTTGGACTTACTAATATCAGTAAACAAGTAATTTTCAATAATAAATATAGCTGTTTTATAAATGCAGGATGATACAACGAGGGTATACAAATTTTTTGAAGCAAACTGAAAAAAATAATATTGAAGTATTCTTATATTTTAGGCATGTTTTAAGTTTGCTTTGTTTTGCTTTTTGAAGCATAGCATCTCAGAACTTGTAATTCCTTAGTATTTGTTGCCTCTTAAAAAAAAGGTCTTCATAAAATAGGGAAAATGTGTAATGTGTTGCATTTTTGGTCAGCTTGTTTGCATCCTTTAGAGTTCAGAATAATATATAAAATGAACAAGTATTTGTAGAAGGGTTGAAGTTATGGGCTACATCTTTTATCCCAAACCAAAACACAACTAAACCTAGTTCAAAAGTCTGCAGCTGCTTTGTTGACATGCCACAAAATGTGGCAAAATAAAAATGCAAAGCTCTCGTTAATTAGAAATGTCATATAACAATGAATTGATAAAAACATCTCAAAAGAAATGACAAGACGTTAAATTGGTTTGGAAGGTTTCATTATGTCAAAATCTAATCAAGCTTGAATAAGCATACACCACTAACAATAAACAGTGAAGAAATGTAAATGATCTCTACACTCAAGAATTCTGTTTTCATTCTGGAGAACTGGCTTCTGTAAAGCTCTAATAATGGTGAGATGGGAGGTTAATTGTGCTTTGTCACTGCATGCAAAATGGCCCTGTCTGTGGCAAGCTACAGCCAAAAAGAACAAAAGCCATGGCAAATTGTAGGGGATCTGTTGCCATGGTTACACCACCGATACTGTTGGTTACTGGGGTGGTCTTCAGGGCGTGAGTGAGGGAAGTGTTAGGGGGAAGGAGAAACAGATTTTATGTGCTAATTACAGCACTGATAAAAAAAAAAACTGTATGATATTGTGGTGACTAAAGCAAATCAACACAGCTGAGACTTTCTCCTGTCTATACACTCAACAGATCACATTCCATAACAATACACAGCCAAGTACTTATTAGGTACACAGATCTTTAACAAGATACATAAAAGTACATCATGAAGCACACTCACAAATACAAACCTGAGAATATATGTTAAGGTTCAATAAACTAGTTACAAACATACCTAAATAACACACCTCAGTTAAGTTAAGTTTATCGTCATTCACATCACATGTGGTACATGAGATGGAATGAAATTATGTACACAGGGTCCCAGTTACACCCAACAATAGTAAAAATAAAAGGTGTAGAAAGGAACAGTATATAAGGATCAAAGATATACGCTAAATGAACACCAAACGGTACGCTAAAAGTAAGATATACACTAAACAACATGTAAAACAATACGGCATATCAACAGCAGCCCGAACATGAGTCTGTAGTGAGTAAATGGGTATGAATGAATATCGCAACATGAGATAATCAGCAGCATGAGATCAGCAGCATGGATAATCAGCAGCACAGATAAGTCACATATCACCAATTAAAGTGGCATTATAGTGATTTAAAAAATAATAATAATCAACATAAATCATAATTTTTGACTAAACATTTAAAAACATATATTTTGTGGCATCATTGTTCCTCCATTTATGAATATAACAAATAGAAATTTGACAGAAAAAGGCTAACTAACTGGTTATGTTTTAACAGTAAATGACACATGCATGTGTCTGTTTCAAGACTCTGGTGTGATTATTTTTATTAACATATCTGGGTCCTTTTCATACAGTTGATATATTATTTTAATAAATTTTGTTGTTGTGATGTTATCCAGTAACTAAGGGCTAAGCTACAACACGAGTGGTCCCCAAACATTTCAGCTAAGAACCCACAAAATAACAATGGAAGAGACTTGTGACCTCAGCTATCACTGGTTGAAAAAAAAAAAAAAAATATATATATATATATATATATATAAATATATATATATATATATATATTATTATTATTTTTTTTTTTAATAGTTTTTACGTTTTTTTTTTGTTTTTTTTTGTGGGTACTAGAGATCATCTCACGACTCCCATTTGGCATTATGTAATAAAAAGCCAATAATATGAAGATATTTTGCAGACTTTGTTGTGCATAACATAAAACTTGGGTATAATAACTCAGACACAGATTGTGACTTTTTCATAGTTGACAATTGCAAAGTAACTTTGTGTATCATAACATCAAAGATAAATATGAGAGGAAAATACAGTAGTTCCTCGTTACTTGGAGGTTCGGCTTTCGCGGACTCACTCTTTTGTGGGTTTTCAACGCAAGATTGAACACGACACACGATTGTCAAATTTAATATTACTCACGTGATTGGGATGGTATAGTATAAAAAGTTAAGGGGGAAAAAAATACTTCAGACAGGCACCACCATTTTGTAGTTTTCTTTCTATAAGCCTATACTGTAACACACGTCAAAAGAACTACACTACCCAGAAGCCAATGGTGCTTCAGACTGCTGTTTTCTGCTGAAATGGAGGGAAAGTTTTGCAACGCAAAGTCAGAAGTAACAATCTATTTATTAAGCTCACAGAACTGGCAGGAAAGTCGCAAATAATCCTGAAGCTTCCTGCAGTCAATTAACTACAAGCACATCAACTTGGACGGGGCGGTGGACTTCGTCGCTGCAGGGTAGGTCTGCAGAACTAGAACCGAGCCCAACCGGAATCGAGCTGCTGGTCTGTAGAGCTGGTGAGTCAAATTTTGCAGTACTGTACAGTACATATACGTATGTTGTTAAAATTACGTAGGTTTAAGAGTTGATAACATGTTAAGAACATTGTAAGAGTATGGGAAGGGTTTATAAAGCCTTAAAATATATAGGCTATAAATACTAAAATAAATATAGCATTTCTATTTCACGGTTTTTCACTTATCGCAGTGGTGTGTGGAGCGTAACCCCTGCGACAATCGAGAGACTACTGCGCTTCCCTTTAACTGAATTACACAGAAATGACACCGTAAAAATGCTCAATGTGGGAGAAAATGTGGTGTAAAGTAAAAATATTGACTTTCTCTTATCTCGCTGCCCTCAGTTAAATCCTCTTGACAATGTTTTTAAAAGCCACATGTATTAGATACCTGTTTAAATATTTTCCAGCAAAAAATAAATGTCTAACCTTTTTTTCTCAATGAATAACTTCCTTTATCATTCAGACTGATTTACAGTTTTCCCTCAACACCTTTGTTTATTTGATGCATGCTGAAATGTAACCATTTCTTGGAGATTTAAAAAAAAAAAAAATCATACATCACTGCATCTGTGTAAATCTATAAATTTCTGAAAGCCAAAAATGAAGAATAGATTACCTGCAGTTATAGCATGAGCTCCAGTTAGCTCCCCGTTAAAGCCGTTCTCCCTTCCCGTGAAAGCAGCTGTGGCCATGTGGGCTCCGCCAGGCTGGCAGGTCCTGTAAGCTGAGGAGGAGAAGCCATTTGCTCCATGTGTGCCACCTGGTTCTTGTCCTCCTGATGGGTCCCACTGGGGGGCATCGTCTTCTGGTTGCCGACTATCTGCCATGCTGGAGCTAGCTAGCAGCCGTCAAGATTGGGCAAATGGGATAGGGGCTTGACTTCTGGGTAAGAAACAAGCAGAAATGAAAGGTGAAAATGGGAGGCCTAGCCACCATGTCTGTTATTAACAGCCATGTTACATAAAGGAGACAGTGCACAAGCTTTAGGACACACTGCATCATTCACTTTTAAACAAAATCTCTTTCTGTCAGTCATAATCCCAGCTGCAGCTCTGTACTTCACTGGCAACAGTTCTCAAAGTACAGCTGTGCCTGTGTGAGTTTGTGTGTAGGTGGTGAATCACTGTCCTTGGCTGTTGGCAGGCAGATGACAACCACTGTACAAAACTTTATTGATTTGAGTGTGATGGGTAATGACTCATATAGCCAGTGGGTACGGTAGAAATCTAAAAAGAATAAAAAGAACAGAGCAGATCTTGGATTTCTTTCTCTCTTTTGTTTTTTTTTTCCATTCATGCAGGACTCAGGGAAATAAAGGTGAGCTCTGATTAATTATCAAACCCAGCATCAGATAAATTGAATCATGGAACTATTGTGGAAGCAAAAATTGAAAACACATAGACACATATTTTAAAAAGTAGTATAATAAAAAGGTCCATAATATTATTAAACATAATATTAATAGAAAAGTATAGATATCAGCATAACTTGGGAATTTTGTGATTATGTATAAGTCAGATGCCATTTGATAGATTTTAAAATGTGATATTTCTGTATTGTTAATGTTAAAGAATAGGTTTCATTAGATAGTTCCATCTTGTTGGAAGGTTGAATCTCTATACAAATACTATCCTTTTATTTTTACATTCTTAAAAATCTTTATTGTTATGATGATCATCATCATAAGATGCTCTTTATTGATATGATGATTTATTGTATACGATCTCTCGAATCCTGCTAACAGAAGGTTAGCTATAAATAATCTGGTTAACCTCAAAAGACAAGCTGGCTCTGCCTGTAGGAGTGGTTACACTGTCTGAGGGATCTTGTGCTTTTTGTTTCTTCCTGATCCACATCATCCTACTTAAACCTCTGCAAAGAGCCTCCAGGGATTGACTTTTTCTTCTTGCGAGCACAAACTGTTTTGTTGAATTCAAACACACTTTCTTCACAAAACTTTCCATCTTCATATCAAACATTTATCAAAATCACTTTAATCCTGGTTCTCTTTGTTAGACTCACCTAACAGGCACTCGGGGATCGCTGGGATTTCTGTTTGTTAACCTACTGAGCAGTTCATAGTGCAAAATTTCAATCATGTCCCCAGACATTATACACATAGTTTATGAAGTAGAATAGTTCCAAAACCCATCCATCATCTTTACCCACTTCTTCCTTTTTGGGTTGCAGGGCTCACTGGTGCCCATGTCCAGCAGTCACTGTGCGAGAGACGGGGTACACCGTGGACAGGTCTCCAGTCCATCACAGGGACACATAGAGACAAACAACCATTCACTCTCTCACTCACATCTAGAGACAATTTATAGTTACCATTCAGCCTAACATACATGTTTTTGGTCTGTGGGAGGAAACCGGAGTACCCAGCAAAAACCCATGCATGCACGGAGAGAACATGCAAACTCCACCCAGAAAGGTCCCCGGACCGGGATTTGAACCGGGGCAACCTGCTCACTGAGAGGAAGCAGCTCTACCAACTGAGCCAGCGTGCTGCCCTGAAGTACCTAAATGTTTTTTTTTTTTTTTTTTAACTTTTTTTAATGTGAAAGGCGTGTCGTGCAGAGAGAATACTGATATCATCTCATGTTAAACAGAGTTAGGTAAAATATATTTTGAAAAGCTAGTGAATTGTTGCTAAGAGTCAAACAAAATATAGATTAAATATTTGCCACACATTGCCATTATAGATCTCATTTAATGTCTCATGACCATCAACTTTACAGTGTGTTGGAAAATACTGTTTGTAAGGTGAGCTCTTCTGACTTTTTGTACATAAAAAAACTCAAATACTAACAGAGCCAATATTACACAAAAATGTTACATGAAAGTTTGGCATGAGCCAGACTAATCTCCACTGATCTTGACAATTGAAACTTTATTGAGAGAAAAAAATCAAGCTCTTGTCAAATCCTGAAAATCCCAACAGACGTGCTCTGGTCTAAAGTTTAGGAAAATTTCCAACTGGGGATTAATTCCTGATATTCATAAAACATTTATGTCAGGAATGGTGTAAATGATTACACTTGACCTGCCTGAGTTGCACTATGAACTGGAGTCAAAATTTAGTGAATTGTTTAAATACGCTTATTTTTCATTAAAAAAAATAATACTATTCAAGATTAAATGTTAGTTTAAGTATCAAAAATGTGTTCTTTTCTAATTATTAGATTTTTAAATTTGGGGAGGAAAAAAAATCAAGAAAAATAAACCATTGTTTAAAGTGAGGGGTCAAAGAATTTGTGTGACTTGAGTCTGAACAGCAGATCAAGGAGAACAAAATTCAGACTGAGACAAGGCACCTCATTGATCACATTACAGAAATATTTTCTTTTTTTTTATTTGTGAGCACAAAGAATATGATTTAGTCAGTGTCAGTATTAATATATGTTGCTCACTTTCTTTAATAAAGCCTAATTTCCAAAATTAGAAGAGCCATACATTGCAGAATTGAGACTGCTGTCTGTGTGCTGTCTGGTGATGAAGGTCACTTTGAGCCTTGGCTGGTTTCCAGACCCAGTCAGATGTCTGAGACTGGTGCCCAGGATATGGCTGTGAGTGGTGCCTTTTGAGATAGTGTTGCCTGACTTCCTGAACACCAGATGAACTGTGCATGAAACAGTTGGTGATCTGCATGTAAATGCATGCATTTGTGTATGCCGTTGTATGAAGGAATCAGAATCACTTACAGACTTAAACCCTGACACAAAGTGATTGGTACCACCATGGTGCATATTGCCATAATGTCTGATTATGGGAAAATGCTTATTTCCTGTTCGTGTAAAACAAAACTTGGGTTGCAGTGGGGTTATAGCCAGCAACCAAGCCTTGCAGTTGTTCTTCATTTAAAAACAAACATGTTGTTTCAGCCAGTGATGATTTCTGATATGGGAGATATAAGCAGCTTCCCAAGGCGGCAACTCATCAAGGGCGGCACGAGTGCCCGGCCCCGCCTCCGCCTCCACCTGGCCCCGCCTCTGCTCTCCCTTTCAAATAATAAAACGCATTATTTCATATAGTCTGTCTAGCCTATTGGTTTCCTATCACCCACTTGCGGGGAGCGAACTCCCTCCGCCATGTGCAGGGTGTGTAGCTTCTGCTGAGGTCTGACACACAGGTTGTGAAAGAAGGGGAGGATGCAGGGGATTCTCTCGTCTCCCTTGCTGGACCATGGATGCATCTGACCGCTAAACAAATCACACCAGTTATTGCTCCCAAACAAAGATTTCATTCATATTATTGTGAACATAACCAATAATCCACAGCTTATTTGTGTGAAATGCTGAAAAAAAAATGATACATGAATAAATCTGTACTCCAAGGAAGGTGAATCAGTTTAGGCTTAAGTTGTTTTGACTCATATTGGGCACACATGGAATTACACACATTGATGATGGACAAGAAAAGGTCACATCCATCAGATGCCCAATTAAGGAAAAAGAGAAAAGAAGAAGAGGGGAACAAGCAAAAAAAAGGTATTTAGCTGTGTCATCTCTTGGAGCATGAAAGGTGTTCCGTTATGCAGTCTGTACCCTGTTGCAAGATAGGCTTACAATTCGTAAGTTTAGCTGCTTAGCACAACATATTTGGCTTTCAGCAGAAAATGTTACAGTTTTGAAGAGTGAAATTCTGCTAAAACTAAACTACTACATGGGAAAGTAATATTAGTCTACAATAATTACTATAGGCAATGATGTAGCCAGAGGGGTTGCTCGCCCAGGGCACCAAACAGGCTAGAACCACTCCTGGTTACAGTTTCTGATATACATAAGCTATAAAAAGAAAAGTAATAATAGTCGGTTTCAAAAATTAATTAGAGGTGCAGTTGAAGAATGTAATAACAAGAAACTGCACATTGCTCAGATAATGTTTTAAGGTGAAAGCATAAAATATTTGATTTGTATTCTGTGCAATGCAGTAGACAGCAGGTGAGTTGTAAATGGCAAAGAGCTTGTGGCAGTTTGCCAGAAAGGCATTGATTAATACTGATACTGCAAGTATTCACTCTGTGACAATGATTATTGACCAGACACAGCACTGAAACTTTTAGTATAATTAACCTGCAACCCCAGACATGACTGAATTTGTTGGTCCACTTACAGCTCATTGAATCGATGTTTAATTTCTTGTAAAAAGGGATTCAGTCATAACCAATTGTCTAATGTATATCTGCATGCAGTTAAAATATGATAAACAAAAATGTGAAACAAAATGGTTTTATTTTTATTTTACAAAGACATGGTAAAACAGTATGGGCAGATTGGTGGATACCCTTTAAGACTAATAATCGTTGCATTATAGTCAGGCTTCAGACTGTCTGACCTTTATTAGCATCACGGGTGCCTTCAAACTTTTCAGCCTGCTTAAAGGGAACACACATGCTATGTTATTTTTATTGTGTAAACCACACTGAGCATGGAGCAGAGAAAGCAAAGGTGAGAGTTGTCTAAAGAGGCTAAATATATATATATATAGATTTTCATATTAAAGGTAAAGGCTACAAGACCATCTTCACAGTCCAGTACATCATTTCCTGAATGCATGGTGAATCATAACAGGCTTTATTGAAGAAGAACAAGGAGGGCTCCACTATTCACAGAAAAACACACACAAATTGGCAAAATCAATAAATAAATCGTGTTGACAGACCCAAACGTTTCTGACTTTTTGCCAAAAGTCACATCAAATGTGTTTTATCTTTTTTTTTTATTATTATTATTTTGTTAGGCTACCAACAAATCTATTTGTGCCTGTAAGAGTGTTTCTAAAAAGCTGAAAGCCTAAAACTCCATATGAAAGTAAAAGTAAAATAGGAGCATGAGGTCTTCATACCACTTCACATTCATGAAAAGCCCTGAATTTATACT